TATACCATGCTGTTTTAACTAAAAATTTATTGGACGTTCTCTTGATTCGGAATATTCTTGTTTTATTTTGTATTTTTAGGTATTTTTAGCTGTAAATTCTATATGCGTCACTGACTTGGGCGAACAATGCCATTAAGATAGTAAGATAGACTAGAACCGTAAAGCCACGTCTAGGGCTCAGAGAATCACGGCCCTTCGGATCACCAGAGCCTACCGCACTATATCAGCCGAAGCGTCTCTTGTGATCGCGTGCACTCTCCCAATCTGCTTAACCACGAATGAGCAAGAATCAGGTGCCGGCAAAAAAACCAGGGAAAGTCAAGGACACCTACCTCCATAATTAGATCCTAGGAAAGGTCCATCTCCATTAATATCTGGCAAAGAAGGTGAGACCGATCTTCCGATGGACGTTGAACGCACCGGCTACTGCCAAACGTCGCACGATGACTCTCCAAACCACTAGTCGAAACCACCTACCATCTCACTAAGGCACTGACGGGGTGACGGGGCACGGCTGCTTCAGAAGCTACCTGTGTCAGATGAATAGAGCTGAGAACAGTTCATGCATCTATTAGAACGCACCCGACGATACAGCCGAGCACATGTTGTTCGACTGTCCAAGGTGAACAGCACAACATGTAAGAGTCTCTGCTGCTCTCAGGAGACCCCCTACCGCCGGTGACGTTGAGGAAATCCTATGTGGTTCACGAGCGGACAGTCTTCCCGAAGACCCAACAGCAGAAGGTCGGCTGCTACAACAGGCACACAACGACAAAGATGAGCTGATCACCATGATCACACTCATCCTTGCTACTAAGGAGCAGCACGAAAGAGAGGCTCAAGCCCAAGAACGCGCAGCTAGGCACAGACCAAGAGTCCAGCATACCCCAGTGTCAGCACAACGGGAACATACGAAGAACGCATTGGACATTAACAACCGCCTTTGCGAAACCGTTGGAGGTGCTACCGACTTCTTCGTTCTTTACTTACTATAGTATCACGGATGGGGTGGACGATCACTACAGTCCAGCACGACTCAACGCAACAGCAAACGCAACCGCAAACCAATGGCAAATCACCACCATACCTCACATTCACTCGTGGCGGAAACTCGGTGAAGGGACAACGAAGATGTTACGAACGAGTTCCGAAACTGACGGTCGGCGAGTTCGGGTCTAGAAGATTGGACACCAACGACTCAAGGCCATAGGCCTCAAATTTTTATTTGAGGCCCAAGTCATAAATGTATCTTTTCTTTTATATATGTATAAATAACTTTCATGTGCGCCCACAAGGGACCAACACATGACTATATCATTAAATATAGATTTACTATTAATTTTATTTAATAAATAATGGCGGCATCACGGAAATAATGCAAAAAGCAGTCACCGTGGCGCCGTCGATTAAAACTGTTAAAAAAAAAAGGTATTTTTAGCTGTAAATGCATTTTTTTGTTTATTAACGTCATTTTTCAATTTTTTCATTTATGGGTTCATTTTTGTAGTTTTTGTACAATGTGGGGGCATTTTTCTTAAATTTTAGATTTTAAAGAAAATTTGTATAATATAATATTTAAAAAAATAATTTTAATATTATTATTATGGGGTTTTTGTTGTGATTAAATTTATCGCGTACTGATAAGATTTTCTGTTCGAATGTTACACATTGAAAACATTAGACACATTTTAATTGTATAGTGCAACAATGTAATATGAGTACTAATGAGATTATTTTTAATATAATTTTTTATTTATTTTTACTTTATAATAATATTGTTTAATGATTAAAAATATGTAAATGTATGTTACGGGCAAAGTATACAATTTGGGCATTTTCTATTATGCCCGGGCATCATATAAAGTGGTTTTCGTATATTGGGCAACATAAATAATATAAATATAATGTCTAATAGTAAATTATTGTCAAAATATAACAGCCAGATTAAGCACTAATTATTATTTGTAGATTTGGATTAACTTAAGTGTTTTTTCATTTGTTCTTATCGATTTTTTTAAATGGGAAAGTCCGCATATTAAATGTGACATGTATTATGATTGTAATATTTATCGTATAATTCCCTTAATCGATGAGATCTTTTACCTATATACAGGTAAATCTGTAGCACAACTAAGGGAGTGCAATAAGGTCTTTAGCACCCCCTAGTTCAAATTTTGAACTCTTTATTTTTTTATACCTAACTGTTATTGTTTTAGTAAAATACCATTACTCAGTGAGGCATTAACTGTTTTAATTCGTTTTAAAGGTCTAATTGCGCAAATAGGATTAATTCTCGTAAAATTAACTTTTTATTAACCACAAAACATTTGTATAGTGTAGTTCAATTACGTACTAACTTATAATAAAAATATAACAAATTTTATTGCAGATTTAAATGATTTGTAAAAAAAAAGTTCAAATAATTTATTTTTTATCAAGTTAAAAAAAATGCCACGGAAGCAGTATATGCGAAAATAAATTATACAAATTTATTTGTAACAAATATAAAAATAAATTATTATATTTTCTAATAATATAAAAATTTAAATTAACTAATAAATATTATATTATCTATATTGCACAATATACGAAGGTCATTTTATATATTGTCCGGGCTTTGTAGAAAATGCCCAAATTGTATACTTTGCCTGTAACATGTGAACTATTGTTTATTAATATTATAATTCATATTTTAAATTACTCTGACACCCATTATCATACCCATATCTCTATTTAAAATTATTATTTATAAACAGGGCTCGAGACTTCTAGCACTAAAAAACTATGAAATATGCGCTATAATATGACTTAAAAAATGGTAAAATATGCACTATAATATGCTCAATAAAAAAATTATTTTGTTTAATTCTAATTCTAAAAATATTTATTTATAATCTATAATTCTAAAAAAAATCGATTGTTCTTTTTATCGACCATTGTTGTACATGTATAATTTCTTTATTCTGTAAACATAATAATTAGATAAATTTAATAAATCAGTAAGTAAGTAAATATTATAAATTATAAATTTTAGTTTATACCTTGAAAATTGCATTGTATAATTATATGTTTGTGAATATTTTCAAATTTGAACGATCTCCTATTATTGGTCAGAAATGTTTTGTACGTTGAAAATGTACGTTCTACGTCGACCGATGTGATAGTGGCGAACTTTAAGTATGGAACATCACTACTAGAAATATCATCTGGTAACCCATCTAATTCTCCGATGTCTCTTATACCCAATAAAATGCTGGACATTTTTTTCAAAAGTAATAGACCATTATTTTTTTCTAAAACACATTTTAATTTTGACTATATTTTCAATCCTATTGGACCTCGTAGAGTTTCAAATGATTTTTCCACATCGTTAATAATTTCAATATAGTCAGACAATAACAACCCTTGTGTTTGTAATTTTTTTAAAGATGTAGTAAGAGATAAAAAATTTGATTTTATGAAAATAAGATCTGCGTCTATTCCGTTTTTATTGATATATTTTTTTGCTACTTTGATGCTGACTGCATCGTCATTGTCGAGTAATTCAAAAATAGAACGAATTGTGCTCAAATTATCACAGTAATAATTCGCTGCATTGATCCTTACTAAATACTAAATGTACGATAACTAATAAGGACTTTACAGAATACACTACGTCTTTAAGAAACAATTAAGATACGAAATACAATAATTTATTGTATTTCGTATCATATCGTATAATGTTTATTGTCAATAAACATTATATCTCCTATATTACTGGAATATTTTTATATTTTATCTATAATAGGTTATAGGCAGCGACGCAGCGTGGACGCGTGGTGCCGATAAACTTACATTAGGTGAACCTATTTGCTGTGTAAAGCCGCGTTTACATTATAAAAGCGAACAAACGAACAAAATAGTTTTCAGACCGAATTGGCGTCCACACTAAATAGTCCTAATGTAAACGCGGCTTTATACATTTTTACATTTACTTTTGTAAAATAGGAATTTAATAAAGCGACACTTACCGTTGACTAGGTACAAACATCAAAACAACTTAATTTTTTTCAGATTAACAAATTATAGGCAAAAATAGCATGATACTTATAAAAATAGCAAAAATAATGCAAAAACACTTAAATATGCAAAAATATGCACTAAAAACTTTTAAAGCTGCGTTCATTTTAGTATGAAACGAATTTGTAGCTTACTCTGCTATATTTTAATGTACTATAAATAAATATGCAAATGCTAGAAGTCTCGAGCCCTGTTTATAAATAAATATTTTTCACTTATTAAATTTTTTAGATCATTTCTAAGTTCATTTTTTAAGGTTTTAGGATAATTTTGCATAATTTTTAGTGAAATGTTGTGTGTTTTTTTGGTCATCAACATCCTAACTCTAGGTACTTATAATGCATTGTAGGTGTATTCCAAATTACAAAATGAATCAATTAAATTAAAATTTTTTTTGAAAATTGTATTTTAAATTAGTAATTCTGTACTTTTTGTAAATAATTTAATTTAATTTTTAAAAAAAAATATTCTACTTTATAATATGTACATTATTAATTTCAATGAAATACATAATTTAATAATTGTTGTGTTATCATAACTATTATTGTAAATAACGATAAACAATAAACACCACCTTAATTTCCAAATACATCATAAAATAAATACATATTATGATTATTATGTACGGAAAATCAGCATTATAAAAAAAATATTTTTTACTGTCCAATTATTTTCTCTCCTCGGCTCGGATTTCACCCGTGGGCCGCCTATTGCTAACCACTGTACTATATAGTATAAGGTTTATAGTACGGTTTTATATACAACCATGGTTTGTAGATAACGGTATCAAATCTCGACTGTTATCATGGCTGTAGATGATAACGGTGACCGTAATGTTCAGTATTTAATATTTAATATTTATCCATTCAATATTTAATTTGAAAAATAAAAATATATACTTTTTGAATTTTATTAATTTTTAATAGTAATTACTAACTTTTACCCATAATTATTATAATAATATCTATAATATTGTGTATTGAGTATTAAGTTATCTTCTCTGTGTTGTACATTAGTTATGATATTTTTTATGATAACCAAAATTTATTATTTTTGACTTTCTTAAAAACATTTAATAAGTTTTAAAGAAGAAATGTTCATAAAATCACTTTGCTCGTTAAATACTACATGGTGCCGGAAAATATTTTTATACAACAGAATATACAAGACCAACCTAGCAACGTTCAAATTATATTGTACAAATCTTAAACCAACTTGCAACATTGGTACGTCTAATACGATTTTGAAATATAGTTATACTTAATAAGTGTTGTTCAAATAGGTACAATTGGGCATGTTGATCATGGAAAAACTACACTGACAGCAGCCATCACCAGGGTCCTTGAAAAGGATGGTCTATCACAATTTGTAGCATATGATGAAATCGATAAGGCTCCTGAAGAGAAAGCTAGAGGTATAACTATAAATATAGCACATGTCGGTTATGAGACGTTAAAGCGTAAATATGCTCATGTCGACTGTCCTGGCCATGCTGATTTTGTCAAAAATATGATCATTGGAGCATCTCAAATAGACTGTGCTATTTTAGTAGTGGCTGCTACGGACGGTTCAATGCCTCAAACTCGAGAACATTTGCTATTAATTAAACAAGTAAATGATTATCTTTACATTTGAGTAATATGTTAATATAAAAATTATCATTACATTGCTTATTATTTATTATTATTGTCAACAATCATAGAATGAAAGTTATGTTAATTGCAGGGCTTGCAAATGTTATAATAACGTTACATTTGACAAAAAACAATTGAGATTTGTAATGTAATTATAACGGAAAACGGATAAACATAAATAGTTAAATAACACAAAACAAAACATAACGCAAAATGTTTAATATAGTATATCATTAAATAAAATAAATTATTTCCAATTATTTAATAGTTATAATATATAAAATATATAAAAAATTTGAATTCTTTAACGCAAAAATTGAATAACGTTTTAATTGTAAATAACGCAAAACAAAAATTTTTCAAATGCAAGCCGTGGTTAATTATTTTTAAAACATTTCTTTTTTTTTTTATGTTGGGGGTCCACAAATGATAAAATAATAAACATGAACAAAAACTCAACTTTCTCATTCCAGATTGTTTTAAAAGCACAAATACTGTTGTCTTATTCAGCTTTTTATAATTTTTATGTTTAAAATTTATAATTTCCTTTATTTAATTTCTCATATTTTGTTACCATTTTGTGAGTTTTGACAAAGCCTATAGGCCCTATTAAAATAAATAATGAGTACAAAATAAATTATAAGACTTAAAAAATTGTTGAAGTTCTACTTACATAATTAATATTATTATTTATTTTATGAATTTTAATTGTTTTAGGTTGGCGTACAACATGTAGTAGTATACATTAATAAATGTGATATAACAGAAAATGATGTTATTGAACTTGTTGAACTTGAGATACGAGAACTATTAACAGATTTTGGTTTTAAAGGACATGAAATTCCATTTATTTTTGGTTCAGCACTTCTTGCTTTAAAAGGAGACACATCCGAATTAGGAGAACAATCTATACGAAAATTAATGGATGTAATTGACAATAATATACCAACTCCAAAACGTGATTTTACTTCTCCATTTCTATTGCCAATAGACAATTGCCTATTAGTACCTGGCCGAGGGGCTGTTGTTATAGGCACATTAAAAAGAGGAACTGTTTATAGAAATGATAAAGTTGAATTGTTAGGATTTGATGAGAAAAAAATAACGAGTGTTAGTGATATCCATGTGTTTAAAAATTCAGTAGCAAGTGCTAAAGCGGGAGAAAATATTGGTATATTGTTGAGAGGGCTAAAGCCAAAGTTTGTGCGTAAGGGTATGATATTATGCCCTATTAATACTTTGCAACTGAACAATCGTTTTAAAGCAACAATTTATTTTCTTTCACGTTCTGAGGGTGGACGGTCTAAACCAATCACGTCCAATTACCAACAGCAACTATTCAGTCATACATGGAACATTTTTTGCAGGTATTTTACTTGTTCATATACTTATATATTTATATTTATTTGTATTTTTTCTTAGAATTGATTTGGATTCATCAGTGTCTATGTTAATGCCTGGAGAACATGCTGAAGTTAAAATAACTTTATTGAATAAAATGATTATGGATATTGGACAACCGTTTACTGTACGAGAAAACGGAAGAACAGTAGCTACTGGTATTATTAGTGAAATTTTATCAAATGTAAATGTACTTAAAAACAATTTAAGTAAGATAAATTCAGAAAGCTAATAAAAGTGATACAAAATTTTGCCACTATTTATATGTGTAATTATTAATATTTACCTATAACATACATATATATCAATTTATATTTAGATGTTATGATATATAATTTAATATAAACCATAGTATATTTAATATAAATAAGAATGGCACAATTTTTAAAATGAAACTATATAATATAAATTAAAATCATACTAACAATATTATTTTATACAATAATCAAGCTATTTTTTTATTAAATAATTATTAAAATTATATTTTACAAAAATGGTAAAAAAAAAAAAAACTTTATTGTCTATTAATATAAAAAATTCTCTATAGATCATTTTTTAAAGTTAGATATAAATAAATATACAATACATAATTTTAAATTTTCCATACAATAAAAATATCTATTAGTATATATAGTATTTAGACTACATGTCGTATACCGAGAGTAACACTTCCATTTACTAGCCTCTTCATCAAATTCCAAGCTTCAGTACGCGACATCCCAGTCACATCTATATCATTTACTGAAACCAATTCATCTCCAGCTAATATTTGTCCACATTGTTCTGCACATCCACCTGAATAAATAGTCAATTATCCAATGTTGAAATATTAGTATAATTTTAAGCTCATCTGAATCTAAGTATGATATGCTTATTGGATGAGTTTTAAACTTATTTATTAAATATTATGTTTTTATATATTGTAAGTATATTTTGTTGTTGCAATAAACATTTTTTATTATTAGAATGAAAAGTAAAATTACTGACCTGTGAAAATCTTTTTCACTGTTAATGGTTGATCACCAGTTGGTGAATTCTTTCCACCTTCCAAACTAAAGCCTAAACCTGAACCATCTTTTGATAATATTACTTTAGTTAATGGTCCAAATACTCTATTTGTTATAACATCTGTAAGTTAAAAAAATATACTAAGGATGTTGGTAAAAACTAATAAATAACAACAATTATTGTCTAAAAGAATATATACTTATATATGTATGTATGTATGTATGTATGTTACAAATTTCTTTACAAAAGTTTCACCATAAAAATTAATTTTTTATCTTATCTACAATTTCGAATAGGTGTCTTGGCACATAAATATTATTTGTATTGTTTTACAAACTATTTTGAGTGTTGTAATGCCAATAAAAACATCAACTAATCACTATATTTATTGAAAGTATACATTAGTTTGGAAATTAATTGTTTTTATCAATTATGCCAGTATCATATAACTATATAAATATAACAAGTACATATTTAAAATGTAATTAATATCAATTTTTTTAGAAATTCATTAAACAATAAGATAGGAAAACAATAATACCATTTTATAGTTGGTATTAATAATTGTTATATCAATATCATTACTGGTCTTTTAATGAATGGCATACATATACATATTATAATTTATTGATGATGTAAGTAATTTTCAATTCTAAGTAAAGGTACAATAATTTAGGAGTTAACAAATTTGAAAAGAGCAGGATTTCTTCTATATTTGACAATTCAAAATAAGAGATTGGTGTGATATGTCATTTTTTATTATCTACTATTTTTAACTTAATAAACAAATAGTTTGAAGAGGTTCAACTCCTTTCATCCAAAAATGACCTTCCTCTTTTTCATCGAATATGATAAAGTAGTTTTCTCTTTTAGTCTACACGTAATTGCATATTTTTTGAACAAAATTAAACATTTTAAGAAGTATCATTCCAAAATTAGTTAAGTATAATTATTAGCACAACCTTGAGAGCACTACGAGGAGGTGACTTTCATTACTCTCCAAAAATGTATTGTTTGTGTACATTAAAATAATTATTGTATAACACAGATAAGCATTAGTAATTAGTTGTTATAACATTGTTAAATAAAATATTTATGCTATGCATTTCATGTGACTAATAATTATGAATTAAATAAGTGATTGACTGATTGTATATGTAGTTGAAAATACTAAGATTAAATAAACTCATAACCACTTAACTCGAGAATATATTGTTGAATTGTGTTTTTGTTTTTAATAGAAGTGGTTTTAATTTTCTATTTAAAAAAAAGTGTTAGTGGGTGCTATTTAATTTTATATAATAAAATTATTATTATTATTTTATTTAATACAATAAATTTTTCAAGAGTAATAGCTGCTTTCTCGTGGTGCTTTTTTGGTATGTTAAATGGCTGTATTAAACAATCAGTGGTTTCCAAGATGTTAAACGTTAAACCGTAGGCGAAAAAAATGCAATTAATTTTAGGCAAAAAGAAGAAATTATTTTAATAGAAAAGAATAGAGTGCCGACCGTTTGAAGTATGGAGACATTAAGTAATTAAATTTATTTTGTAAAGAACTAAGTTATCTTAATTCAGATGAAAAAAGTCTGGTAAGTGTAACTTTCACATTAATACAATTTTCCTACAGAACGTCTGAGACATCTTACTCGACTGAGCCCTCTCTTTATTACCATTTTTGGCTGAAGTCGTGAGATCAGCAGATTGAAGTAGCCCAACAGATTCAGTGGTCGTGTCTGACTTGCATCTAGATATTACCAACACTACTTCAGACCTAGGTGCCTAAAAAATACCAGCAAAATTAATTAATAAATTTTAGTAGATAATATGTAATTGGTTCAATTATACTTTAAGTATTGCCAATGATTCTCGATGCGTGATTCCTTTCATGCTTTTGCCGTTTATTGATAATATGCGGTCGCCTTTTCGGATGCGGCCGTCTTTATCCGCCGGACTTCCAGTTAGTACTTTATACACCTATGAGAACAAATTCATCGGTATAATAAAATGTATGAACATAGTAACTGTATTTTGAACTTTAGTCTTTAAGTGTTGAACATAACTGGTCCTAATCCCTTACGGTAATGTGTGTCTCTTAATGATTTTACCAAGATTCATTGACATATCCATACATATTATGATAATATACATAAGTTAAATCAATTTTAATTTATAAATAATTGTTGTAAAAGCGTAAAATTTTGTTGCTATCAGGCAGTATCCAGGGGGGTTCATGGGTGTGACCTCCCTGAAATTTTTAAAAATTAAAAATACAAGATTTTGTATATTAATTATGTAAAAAATAAAAAAAAATGTACTTATTCAAAATCATTTAGACCCCTGTCAAAAAAAAAAAAAAAATAAATAAATAAATAAAATTCTAGCTAGGTGTTTGGTTGCTTTTCTATAAGGAACCTGTGATTAATAAGATGAATGATTGTACTCCTAAAGTCTATACCCTTAAAAGTTATTCCAGACAATGTGTCGTCTGTCTTACATTGATTAACACGCTTCGTTGTGTCCGTAAACGATGATATAATATTAATATTATAATATATGATACGTATCGTGGGTGTGAAAAATGAAAAAAAAACTGTGAAAGCTGTGTGATCAAGAATCGGACAATAAAAATAGTTACAGAGAAAAACTTTCTGCCTACTCCTAGACAAAATAAATACATTTATGGAGATGGCAACAACAATGAAAAATGTAACCTAGGTATATAGGTTTAGTACTGACCGTTATTTCTTTTGTTTCATAATCAGCACCGCCGGCTAACGTGATACCCACACTACTGGTAGCCATATCCCGGTGCAGAATGACGACAGTCACTTCGACCGAGTGCGGCGGGATCGCGGCAGCCGCAGCGATACCGTAACAACCATTGTTGTTCTCTTCTAGTGTTTGGTTGGCGTCGTCGATGAGCTGTTGAAGTTCCTGTTGTGAGATCAAACTAGTGGACGACGCTAATGAGCTGATGCTGCCGAACGGTTCGGCGTTTACTGCGTATTGCATGGATGAATCGTCACTAGTCGTAGACTCCACTGACGACATCCGGTTGTGCGTGTACCTATTGACGATCGCGGTTCCGGTGGCAAATATCGGCCCAGACTTGACTGATTTCAACGCTGGCGCGTCTGAATGTTGTAGCTGTTGATGATAATTCTGATGATAGTGATGGTGGTTCGGCGAGTATTCGGTCTTACACACGTAGTTATTAGCCGGGGACGACGGTAACACTGCCTGAGGTTCCGGTTTGCCGCTGCTGATTCTGGCCGAACAGAGTACGTTTTTCCGATTGATAGCCTCTACGCTTTCGGCTTTCAGCACTCGTTTTCCAGTGTCGCATGTAGACGGACTACTGTGGTTGGAAAAAGCCGCGTTTGCGGTCGACGGCGGTGGTGGCGACGAAGATGGTAGTGGTGGCGGCGTCGACTGCTGTGATTGAGGTGGCGGTGATGAAGCTGGCGAATACTGTTGGAGCGACGTGCTTGACCGACTGGAGCTGAGCGCTGAGTCTTCATCGCTGTCCGCTTTAAATGAACTCTTGTTGGAAGACTTGACGGACGACAGTGGCCGTTCGTCGTGTATGTGCCTGAGTTCCTCTCGGCTTGAGTTCAATGAGGACGATGTAGACGAGGAAGACGAAGACGACGACGGTGAACTGGACGCAGACGACGGACGCCGCTGTTCCGTCGCGGGCGCCGGTGTGATTACGGGGACGACCATAAATGACTGCCGCAACACTGGGTTAGCACGTCTGGTCACCGTGCCGATTGCCGGTTCGTTGACGTACGTCTTGGTGGGCGGACACAACACAGGGGCATCGGTGTCGTCATCATTGTTTTCCGACTGTGGAATTTTGATCACCAGCGGTAAATCGGGAATCGCGGCCGGATGCAGCTGCGATTCGTCGGCATTGGTACCGTTACTTGTGCCGTCTCTTCCACCACCGCCAAAACCGCTTCCGGACCCCGGCACTACTTTTTCCGGTATCACAAGTCCCCTGAGTTTGGACATGCTCCGCCGACGTTGTTCGATCAGAGCGTTCAACGACGACCGTCCCATTTCTGCGTACGCGTTCATCGTGTTGAAGTACTTGCTGTACGGTTGCTCGACGAGGCTTTGAGACCGTCGATGGTCTGTAGGTGCACCTAGCTGCATTGGTGCGCCCCACGACGGTCGCGCTGTGGCTGAATACTGTTGCTTCTGTTGTTGCTGTTGCTGTTGTTGCGGCGGTGGTTTGCGCGGTAGGGTGCTATACGCCACAGCTTTAGGAGACGCTGTCGGGGACGAGTCTGCGGAAGCTGTCGAGTAAGCTGACGATGACGAATCTTTTTTCTCGCCGCCCGGCGTCGTAGTCGTGGCCCGTGAAAACATCGCTATTTTGTCTCGCACGCTCCGGTTGCAAACTTCGTCTGTTCTGCCCGAAGTGGTTCTTTTTGGTGTTATTGTCCTAACAAAGTTTCTCGAACCGTCCGAATCCGTTTCCGAGTCCGTCCTACTCGACGGTTCCACGGCCACCAAATGCGACGACTTCATTGTCGTCGATCCGTCTCCGTCGCCGCCGCCGCCGCTGTAAAAATGATCTGGCTCGCAGCTCGACGTTAGGTTTTCCGGTCGTTCCAAAGTCGCGTCACACTCTGTAAACACACAAAAGATTATGTTTATTCGAGTCTGTAATTGTTTTTACAATAAATGCATATGTATACATCACGATTTTTAAGTCATTTATTATCCTAGTTTGTATCATAATTTGAAACAATTGGATACCGTCCTAATCTATAATATAATAATTGACATTGTTTGAGCATTAACTAGTTAAAAAGATTATAAACTCAACTCACTAATTATTTATATTGACCTGTCAACCTTTGGTATTATTTGATATTTATTAGTTTTTATTAACATCAAATATTTAGATTAATTTATCCTTACGATAATAAATTAAAACTAAGTACTTATATATATTATTTATATAGTCATAAACTCATAACTCTTTCATCTGCCATGACTCATGACAGTACCTAATCTTAAATTACTTTAAAATTCTATTAATATTCGTATCTATAGATGTTTACAATTTAAAACAGTACCTATAAACGTTGAATATAGAAAAGAGTTATGAACAAAAGTAGTATATTTTGATAAGAGCAATAAACTATTATTAAATTAATAATTGTTTTTTTTTTATTTGTATGAATCTGTCAAGATGATTTGTCACTGCCCACAACGCGTGACGATGACTCTTTCGTTTACTATGGTTAAATAATAATATAGTTTAGTATTTTTACTTTTTATCTGTAGATAAGAGCGTGTAATGAGTGTACCTATATGTAGATAAGTACTATGCCCAATATACATAGATATGATGAAAATCTCACGTACAAAATATGTTACAATATGCGATGAGTACTCCACAGGTAGACCATCCCCTGCCCTCTTCTATGTACGTGTACTTATACGCCCACGTTCATTACAACTATGGGTAAGTGTAATAATTTAATATACCTATATAGTGAAATTCTGGGAATAAGAAAACCGACACAAATGTCTTAAGTCGTTTGTACGAATCTTCGTTTTCAAAACGAGAAAAAATAATACACCTACCGGATGTAATATATATGTGTATAGTAGACGTGAACCGTGTTTTGTTAATTATTCATTCGGATAGCTCCAACCCAACATTAATAAACGACGTCAAATTGCAAACGATAAATGTCAGAATACTGTTTTAGTTTTTATTCCACAATTTACAGCTATAGGCTAAAAATGTTTTGTATTTTAAACTATTGCTTAACTTATAATATATTAGTTAAGCGTATAGTGCATAAACGGTCAAAGACATTTACAATTTATGAAAAATTTGAATTAATTTAGTATATTCTGCACATTAGCACTTACATATTGTTTAATTCATAGTGTGAATTTCACACAACAAAAGTAAGACTGTCGCTTTTATGTAATTTGTAAATTATTATAGACACACAAAAAAAAAAACCCCTTGAATATTATCAGTAAATAAAATAAAAAATACACACAAGAAAATAATATGTATACCAGCGATGGTCAAACTTTTTTTGGCCGCGATCTACTAAAAATATATACTTCACCTTTAAGGATCGACTCCGATAAAAAAGTTTTTTATTATTAAATTACTATACCTCCATAATTAATTTTTGTGTGTGTACTGTGTAGCTTAAAAATACACGATCGACCTTGAAATCGTTTGTGATCGTGATCGACTGTTTGGCGGCCCTAATGTATACAATATACATTAATACATTATAATTCAACAATATAATAATGTATTTTGGTCATTACTCATATTTAATGTACAAAAAAAATCATCAATTAAATAAAATACTATAATAGTATATTCCACCTATATAAAAGTAAAAGTATATTATTTTTTTTTTCACGCATCTTAATTAATATAGTGATTTATGAGGTTGAGCCATCAGTATTCAGCCGTAGGTAAATATTTTTCTATGTCATACTCGTCAAATTTTAAATTTGGAATTTAATAATACATATAAGTAGCCATAAGGACTATAGAAATGGGTACCTTATACATCGATTATTATTTGGTATATACTTGCAGTAGGTACGAAAAACTATAAACATATCATAAATATATGAATATTATAATAATTATTAGGTGTTAAAATTACGTACCATCCATGTATTTTAAAACATAATACTTTATTTCATATATTTACTAAAAATAAGTAATATTCTGATGAAATATACACTGACATCGCTTTGCGATCTATAGTTTACAATGTTTTCATAAATCAAAAAAAAAAAATAACACGAAACGATTGTTAAATATTATGTTTAAAGTCACCAAACATCAGACAACTATATAAAAATACGTCAAACGAATATTATTAAAATCTATACACATTATAATGAGCTGCATAAGACAATTTTATGAAACGGTCAATTCTCACGCGATTTGCGTTTTTCTATAAAGTGGTCCGTAAATGGCTATAGTATATTTACTTGATTAGTTAACGAAGCCCAAATAAGGCATGTATGTATAATAACAATGTTTTTAATGCATTAATGTATTATTTTTTTAAGGTCATATTAGAATATTTTAAAAACAAAAAATTAATGGTTTTTTTAAATTATTTGTGATAACGTTTTTATTATTTTAAAAATTGTTAGGCGGAATTGTGTGAAGTTTAGTGACATTATTTTTAAACCAATAATACTTGACATTAGGAAATAATTAAAATCATTTAATAGTTTTCAATTTCATACATATTTCCTCTTTTATATTTAATAAATAATAAACATTTTTAAACCATCCATATTTATACGAGTATAATTATATATATTTATTGAACATTGAATATTTATGCTTTGGTGCCAATATTTTGACGACATTACAATGTATATGACTTTTAGATTTTTATAGAATATCAGTGTGAAAAATTAACCATTGAACTAGCATATATTATAGAGTTAATAATATTCATTAAAATGTAGCTGATACCTATTCATTAAATCAGATGTATAAAATATAAAAAAAAACCGCCTCAGGTAGAGATTCACCATCTTGGGTTTATCGTTTTCAACGAGATCACCTTGCCAGTTATCCCACCCATAGAATAGGTATGGATAAATTATAAAATATAATGTGTATTAATATATTATTCATTATCTACATGGAGGGTACATATTTATTATTATTATTAATCTATTGTTATAACATAGCAAATTATTTTCGAAATACATTTTCCGCAGATTTTAATAACCGGAAATATAACGCAGATGGTAAGTATTATCCTATAATTGTTTTTCATACAGTTCATCTTATAGGTATACTATAATATATTCATCGCAGATAAGTTATGTAGCATAAGACTATTGGAATGGGTGAAGAGGACACGTCTCATTGTCGCCACGGTGAATAATGGCCAACAATTACGCCCACATCGCGATTTAAAGTCAAAAGGAAAAAACGAAATAATATGTATTATATTATTATTCTCGAGTAATAATAACACTGCCCAGTAAGCGGCAATAGCGACCTTCAGAATTACTTTTGTATATATATAAATAATATGTGCATGGAGCAAAGAAAAAAACGTCACTTATATCTATTGTGAAGATGTGTGCGGCAATTGTACATATAAATCGCTGCGGTACATCTCGTGGTGATTGCCGCCGATGGATCGAGGTATCTGTAATTATTTTCCGACTAAACGTGAACCAGATTCTTGCAAACCTGATTTATAACGTGTATTTTTTTAATATAAAAATGCTAACGGACAGGAAAGAGAAACAAGAAATGAGAAAAAAATGATAAGGAATAAAAGTAATACTCGTGTGTATAGTAAAGTCAGTAAGTATATAAGGCATATAGTTAGTAAGTTGTAGGTAGATAGGTGTATATTATGTAGTATTATAGGTGGAGGTATACAAGAATAATGCAGAGGTACCTAACCTATCTCGTGCAAAACCATTTCTCTGGCGAACGCATTTCATATTACGAGTATACACCCGTTAAACCCATTATAATACGCACGTATGTGTATGTGATCTAATATAATAATAAATCGAATAATCGAATAATGAGAAAAAATATATTGTGTGACCTGTAAAATTGACTTGAATATTTAAGTATTATTTTTATTATCATTATGTATAATAATATTTAATATTACTTGCTGGCCCGCACTGTCTTTACACAAGAGTAGTTGTTCATGTTTAATGCTTATTAGTTTAATATAGACTATAAATAAATTTTAGAAATTTTTTTTAACAGGTAATCCTGACAAAAATTAAACTTTTTGACCAGATTGTACATCATCGTAATGAACACAGGTTAAGCATAAGTTTAAACACAGATTTAACACCTGTATCGCCGTGCTCAGGAATCAACCAATAGCATAATTCATAAATAATGGCTAATATATATTTTTATTTAAATTATAACTCGGTATAAAAAATAAAAATACAACTCGTTTATAAAAATTTCAATTTTCAATTTTATTTTATGAATAAATATTTGTTTTTTAGAATGTTAATAAAAATCTAATTAACATGTAATTTTGACTTTGTTTTTTACGTGACAAATTAATGATTTGTAAGTTAATGAAATAAAGTTACGATTCATTAATAAAAACTGATACAATATTATGTTACATATGAGTTTATAACTTAAAGATAGTACCTAACGTCACATTTTAGACGAGGTCCAAACAAACTACTCTCTAAACATTCCTCTAAATGCATATAGGTTTCTCTAAAACACAATCCTTGACAATTTCATCAAAATCAATTGAGTAATTTTTAAATCTATAAATTACAATCATACACACATTTCCTTTTATATATAATAATATATACCTACTTCATTCATCATTGATAATTTGATATGCTATATTCAATATCCTAATCAATTTTAGGATTATTGCAAAATAAGATGATTTTTGTATAGCTGAAAGTAGTAATATATTATTTTTTTTTTTTATAAAAAGCAACTGTTTTTTGAAATATTAATAAATAAGTACTAGTATGTAACATGAAATTGGAAACATTGTTTCTTAATAAAATGATTTAAATCACTATTATAATTAAATGGTTAAAAATTATACCAATTTATTAGTTTTTGCAAAAAAACAAT